CTAATGATAAATTACTATAATCTTTATACCGAACAAATCTTACATCATATCTGAAGCAAATGGTGTGAACATAATTGAAATCCCTCTATAAAAGGCCAAGTTATAAGCGTTTAAAACCTGACACTATTTCGTCACGCAATTTTTTGATTTGCACCCCCAGTATAATCGACATACTGACATATTCCTACTTAAAAAGAAAGAGGTTGTATCGAAGGCACGACCGTTGACTTGACGTAGGATTACGAAAGATTGTTTTGATGTCACAGCAAAAGTATAGTAAATATTAAATTGATTTCTTAACTCGTTATCAGTGAAAAAGTTCGATAGGTTGAAATTCGGAAGCAATTTGAGAGTTCTGTTTGTGAGGTGCTCACTCTTTAGTTAACTCTTTTATCAGTAATTTGTGGTCCTGAAAAGGACCGATGGGTTGGAAGCCAGTTTGAACAATGCTGAGGAAATTTGTCCTCGACGTTCTTGGAGATGATAGCGGTGTGGAAATGAAGTTGGATGAAGTTGTTGAGGAAAACACATCGATCACAGAGCTTGGGCCTACCGGACGGTACCTACGTACCTACGTTGGTCAATATCAACTTGACGTATTTCTTTCAATTTTGCATTTAAAAAACCTGAACACCCCTCATTTTGAAGGTGTGTGTGTGTAGAATGTTGCTCCTATTTTGATTTTGGAATTCACTCTTCAGTTGTCAAAATGCCGTCCAAGCAAGAAGAGCAGCGTATCAAAATTTTGCTCGCGCATCGCGAAAATCCGAGCTACTCGCACGCAAAGTTGGCAAAATCGCTAAAAGTTGCCAAATCAACCGTTACAAATGTAATTAAAGTGTTTGGGGAACGTTTGTCGACAGCCAGGAAGTCTGGATCGGGGGGAAATCGAAAACCGGAAGCCGCTGAGACGACAAAGAGAGTTGCCGGTAGTTTCAAGCGAAACCCTAACCTCTCTCTCCGAGATGCCGCAAATAAGCTGGGTGTATCGTCTACAACCGTGCATCGAGCCAAAAAACGAGCCGGACTATCGACTTACAAGAAGGTAGTGACTCCAAATCGCGATGATAAACAAAATACGACTGCCAAAGCGCGATCCCGGAGGCTGTACACGACGATGCTGACGAAGTTTGACTGCGTGGTAATGGACGACGAAACCTACGTCAAAGCCGACTACAAGCAGCTTCCGGGACAGGAGTTTTATACGGCAAAAGGAAGGGGAAAGGTAGCAGATGTTTTCAAGCACATGAAACTGTCAAAGTTCGCAAAGAAATATCTGGTTTGGTAAGCCATCTGTACCTGTGGCTTGAAAAGCAGCATTTTCATAGCTTCCGGGACTGTCAACCAAGAAATTTACGTGAAAGAGTGTTTGAATAAACGTCTGCTGCCTTTCCTGAAGAAACACGGTTGTTCCGTACTGTTTTGGCCGGCTTTGGCATCTTGCCATTACGGTAAAAAGGCCATGGAGTGGTACGCCGCCAACAACGTGCAGATGGTTCCCAAGGACAAGAACCCTCCCAACACGCCAGAGCTCCGCCCAATTGAGAAATACTGGGCTATTGTCAAGCGGAACCTAAAGAAGACCAAAAAAACTGCTAAGGGCGAGCAGCAGTTCAAGGCAAACTGGCTTTCTGCGGCGAAGAAGGTGGACAAGGTGGCTGTACAAAATCTGATGGCAGGGGTCAAGCGTAAGGCCCGGCAATTCGGATTTGGAAAAGCGGAAGCCTAACTGAATATTTTTCCTGAATTTTATACTAATTGAACTTGTAAAAGAAATTTAATTTGATTTTTTAAATAAACGATTTCACCGATTTACACGCGTTTTCCCTTGACCAAATTTTGACCGTATCACCCTTTACTTGACGCATTTGACCACAAACTTTTGGTTGCTGGGTACACTTTCAAAGAGCTTTGGGGGTGATGTGGCTGGCATTTAGCAGGGTTACTTCTACTCACTTGCTATAAAAAAAATGTTTTTCAGAATTATGAAATCATGAGATGGTATAGTGATAATTAGTACTTGTAAGTTACAAGATGAGGACGTGAAGTATGTGTTTGACACATAAAATCTGTCAATATTGCTTTCAATGCGTCACAATCAGCAACTTTACGACTCGTGAGTGCTCACTCTGAGTGAACGCTCACGAATCATAAGATCGCTTATTGTGACGCTCTGAAAGCAAAATTGACAGGTTTTATGAGTCAAACACATACTTTAAACTCTATTCTCGTTACTTACAAGTACAGCATATCATTATATCATCTAATGATTGCATAATTCCGAAAAATATGTTTTTATAGCAAGTGAGTGGAAGCAACCCTGGCAGCAAGGCGAGCGAATGTTCAATGACATCACACGCGGTAATTGAATGAACAGCGTTCGGCGAGACCGGATGGAATTCAATTTTGAAATCTGTGTTAGGGACAGCACTTTTCGCAGGCAATCGGTGGTCATTTTAATTATAGCAACAGTTGCACATTCCTGCATTTTCAATATTGACATTTTGAAAAATGATAAATCCTTAATTTTAACAGATTCATAGTAAAATTTCCTATCGATTTGCGTATTCTCGCGTCACTTTTCAAATAGACCAATGTAACATATCCGCGATTTTGAGAAAATCGAAGTTGAAGCTCGACAGATTATTAACGGGTGGCAACTAAAATTTTGGAATTTTTTCGAGGCCTCTATGCTCAACAACAAACGAGCTCAGAGAGAAATAAGAGTGTGTATGTGTTAGCTCTCTCTCTCCTCTTTCTGCTAGTATTTTCTGTTTTGTTTATGCTTGCTCAGTTTTGCTCAAAATGCCGTCGAAACAAGAAGTATTTCGTGAGCGCGTTGTACAGTTCTACGAACTGCACAGAAATCTCGGCAAAAAGTATACGGTACAAAATTTTAAAAGCGAAAATGTTGCGGCATCGACTGTTTACCATATCCTAAGATCCCCAACAACTGCTCGCAAGCAAGGTAGTGGAAGACCAGCCAAAATTATGGACGCAAAAGGACTTCGTTCTCTTTCTCGTGCCTTCAACAACAAGGATTCACTGAGCCAACGGGATGCCGCAAAAAAGTTCAACTGTTCTCACCAATACATCTGCAAAACATTGAAAAGAGTCGGAATAAAGTGCCGAAAGAAGACACGAGCCCCGGAATATACTGACGCACAGATTTCAACGCTGAAATCCCAATGTCGCTGGTTGATTAAAAATTATTCCGGAAAAAGTTTTGTTTTGGACGACGAAAGTTACTTCCCTCTTTCGAAGACGCAGATTCCCGGAAACGATCGATACTATTCAACTACACCTCCGAACATAAAATATAAGTTTAAACATAAGTTTGAACAGAAAGTGATGCTTTACATTGCCATTTCCGAGAAAGGCATTTCTAAGCCATGGTTCAAGCCCTCTGGTTTGGCAATCAATCAATATGTGTACCAGAACGAATGTTTGAAGAAAATTTTGATCCCGTTTCTACAAAAACATCATGCTGATGGACAATACGTGTTTTGGCCGGATAAAGCGTCATCGCATTACGCCAAAAAAACACAATCGTTCCTGAATACCCATTCGATCCTATTTGTACCCAAAAACCACAACCCGACAAATCTGCCTCAGTGTCGCCCAATCGAATAATAGCGTTGAAAATTCAGTAGAAACAGTAATAATCACAATTTTACTTTGAATTTCATGCTATAATATAGAAAAAAAAACCCTCAGAACGTTTTGACTAGTCAAGTTGTACATAGGACATGTTAAATTGGACGATTTTTCTCAATGACATAATCAATGAGTGTTGCATTGAACGTTTTGTTCTACAAGATACTAGATTCCCTTTCACAGATTTCAGAGTAGTGTACTTAACTTTAAATGAACACCAATCATGTTAGGCAGTCCAAATGACCGAAGTAACAATCATGTATAGATCATTTCAAACTGTACATTGGACAATTTTTGACCTATGATTATCTTAAATAAATGAAAGTAAATTTGGTTGGGTGGTTTTGTATCACATACAATGATAGAAGAGCGATAGTTTGTATCGCTTAACTCGATTTGTTTACATTTGTTACTTAGGACCTTTTGAAAAGCGACGCGAGTATTCAGAATTAAAATCCATCATCTCGGGACCAAAATCAGACCACTTTCATGCCGCGACCGACTTTGGATTCTGAAATTGCACTGCCAATGTTGCCTTAAAAATATATGGTATGCTAAATTTAAACATATGGGAACTGACATTCGATTGATGACCATGAAAAATGTCCTAAACATACTCTTTATCAAATTTATGGTGGTCCTGAAAAGGACCGTTTTGTCGTGATGGTTGAGTAATGCTGAGCTATTAGGGTGTTCAACGCGGATGAGGCTGGCAAGCTGTATGTTGTTTGGAACGAGGGTGACGCGCTTGGCATAGATGGCCCACAGCGACTCACGAAGATGGATCCCGATCAGTAGCGGTGAGGCTTCTTCCTCCTTCTTCGGTGAATGGACACTGATTGAATAAGCACCGTTCAGGGAGACAGAATTCGATTCGATTTTGAAATGTGTGCTAGGGAATGCGCTGTTTGCAGGTAATCGGTGATAATTTTGATTACTATTGCAAAAGTTGGACATTTGTGTAATTTTCAGTAGTGATCTAGTTGCAGATTCGTAGAAAAATTTCTAATCGATTAGCTTGTTCAGAATTAAAATCCATCCGCTATTGGCAGAGTTATATGTGGTCAAAACCTAACCATTTTTCGTAATGCAGCCAGTTTTGGTTATTTGAAATTGCACAATTGGGATTGTGGAGTGGATTGCTTAAGGGAATCAGTCGAAATTGTTGACTGTTTTTCGGGGATCAGGGTATCCACCAAACCATTGATGAATTAGTTCTATCATTTGGGTTGACGTTCGCTTATGGTGTTTTTATATATGTCCCGGTTAAATGTTCCGATTTCCCCGTATTTAGAAAATGTTCAACGCATAGAAATGATGTAATAAAATGCAACTCGACTTACCTTTGAAGAACTGCAGCCTGCCACCGGGCGCATTGGTAGCACTGATCGGCCCCGAAAGTGTCCCATTGCCGTTGACTTTTCCAACATTTCCGGCACTGAGGCTACCGTGTGCGCCATGCTTGATACCACCGACGTGGCCAGAGTTCAGAGCCGTTCCATTCGTTCCGCCGGAGTTACCCGACACGGCAGTCGACGTTTTCGATTTATCCCTTCCCGTTGCAGGCGCTCCGAAACTACTGTGCAGCTGCGGTCCATCGGCAGTCGGTGACGAAGCGGACGATGACGACGATGCCGGGGACGACTGGGGCGATACACCAACTACCCCAACCCCCGGATGATGCTGGCGTGCCGAAGGGGACAGCAGTATGGTTGCTGTGCCATTGACAGTGGTGGTGGTGCTGGTGGCAGTAGTGGCGGCAGGTTCATCGGTCATCGTGGCACATTTTGTCAGGATTTTACTGATTATCTCCTGGTGCTGTTGGTGATGGGGAGTAACGGTGCTGCTGCCACTGCTACTGCTAGAATTGCTTCCGGTGCTGGAGCTGGTTGGGTAGCTGTTTGGGATTTCCTTGCCGCTGCTTGGATTGATTACATACATGATCCCGTAGGATGAAGCAGGATCCGACCGAATCTTTCGGCGATCGTTCGATCAGACCCAGTGTATCGTCGTCGATCCGGTTGCCCGATTCACGCAAGATATGCGGTGGAGCAACAGCAAAAGCGGGACTGAGAATGTGTGTGGGATTCCAACCGTATTCTCTCCTTCTCTCTCTTTCTGGGTCTTGTTCTTTTGGATTTTTTTTTATAATACCTTTAATTTGTTGTGCTCCAGTGCGAGATCACACAACCGTGTGTGTCTTCTTTTTTTTTTTCTTGTCGTTTCTGAGTATGTGTGCGAGAGTGTCGGTCGCCTTTTTTCCTCTTTTCCGCCGCCGCCGCCGAGGAATGTCCGATTCAAGAGTCTTGCTTGTCTTATTGTTATTACTTTTTTGATATATATTTTCTGTTCGTTTGCTCTCGCTCTCAGGCCGTGTGGCGAGCGCCTTGTTGTGCGGCTTTAATTTTCACTGGAAGAGGACATTATCAATTAATTGATTATTTTGACTGCTGCTACTTGATTCCACACAGCAGTTTGTGCTGCAGCGAGTCGCAAAAGGAAACCGAAAATATTGCTGATGTCGGCAAATGCAACATAGGCATAATATGGGGTGTTTCTAAGTGGGTAATTTGACTACACAGATTCCCATTGCTTGAAGCGGTCGTGGCTGGTGTGGAAAAGTGCGAATGCGTGAGCTATCTTCCATTAATCTGCATGATGTTGGTTGATGTCGCCGAGAGGATGGTTTCACATCTGCCTGCGCTCCTGCTGCCTGTTGTGGGTGTGCGTACGTGTTCGATTGACGAATTGTTGTGTATATTTTCCAGCCTACCACCGACTCCCGGTGGTGGTGTATTTCCGTTTCACACTTCCTGCCACCTTCTACCTCCACTGCAGCTCGGTCGGATCATCCAGCAGTGAATTTCCCCCATCTATAGGGAGACTCAATCCAAGCCATACATACGAAGGGGACACAGAGAGATAGATTATAGGAGGCCTACTCCAACGTCGTCGTCGTCGTCACGTCGAGGGAAAAATCGATTCTCCCCAGCACTGCTGTGTACAAAGCCCTCTGTCACCGATACACACATACACCGACTCACCAACACCGACGTGCCCGTTCACACTCGCAATCTGTCAACTTTTCTTCGCTCTAGCTCCGTGTTGTAGCCTTTTTGTGTTTGGTTGGACTTCCCTTCGTGTTTGAATGGTTTTCACACTCGGAGTTTTTCAGAGCTTCGTCACCATTTTCTTCTTGTCAATGCAACACACTATCAAAATATGCTTAGTACTCCGTATTTCGCTCCCCCATTCAACTCTACTCCTTTAGATCACTATGAAATCATTCGAAAAATATATTATGCCCTGAGATTGATTCTGGTATATTTTCCTCTATCTCGCTTTATTCGCTTCACAGCCGTAACTATTTTTATAAAAATTAGAGAACTTCTTTCCTTACTGTTACATATCATCGAATGATAGGCAATAAGCACTTTCAAAATATTTGTCACTTCCACTTCCCCAATAAATCCTACTTTGCTGAATCACAGCAACTCGGCTCCGATCATATTTGTATTCTTTTTGGTCGGATTTCACCCGGATTGGCCGCACATGTGGAAGATTTGCACTCACAAACGGATTGGCACATACGGCTAGCGACCCCAGAAGGCTAGAAACCGCTCGGATTCCAGCGGAAAAAATCACCTGCTGATAACAGTTGCTCCAGTTTCTCTACACGGTCTTCCGTCGTCCGGCACAGGCTAGTCCGGCTGCGTCCATTACACTCCAGCCGCCATCATCAGCAGAAAATCACACCAAAAATATTCAACACACACTCCGACTCCCGTGTATCCCGCAACTCCCGGGAGGGCCACCGTCGTCATCACGCGCGGTGGCAATCAAACATTTTTCTTCCAGCAGAAAACTGAAAAATATTTCTGCCTGTTCTTGAAACCGAGCTTTGATGAATCTCCTCCCCGAACCAAAAAAAAAATCCACACTCTTCTTCCTCCGCTGGCAATATTTTCACCTTCTTCTTCTTTATTTCGCTCCGGAGCCTCCTACTTCTGTGTTTCACTCCGGGATCGGTTTTCTGCCGCAGGATTATCGAAGTCCGAACTCAATCGAACACAAATTTATCACTTTCAACCGGAACTGCACTTTATCTACACTCTGTGCACTGGAAAATCCACTAAACTACACTCATTCGAACCGAAAAATGTCTTTTTTTCCTTTCTGCCCCTCAGAGCTATGGATGGATGTTGAGCGAGCTGTGAGCCAGCTTTTCTTCTTCTCCGTCGTCGTCGCCGTCGTTGAATGTTTCATTCGCCTGCTCCTGTGCCTCTCTATCTGTGTGCTCTGTCGACACACAACACAGCAAAAGTGCCCAACAACCGCAGCAGCAGAGCACAGAGAGCCTGCAATCGCGGTTCCTCCAGTTCAGTCACCAACACGAACAACGCTTGGCGTGGGAAAAAATGAGATGACAGATGAAGCCCGCCGTTGGCCAGAGCGGGATGGCACTGGTCGGATAGGTTCATTCACACCCCACACATTTTTCGCCCGCTCTTGAATGAAGCGAGAAAAGTGCGCGGGCGAGAGAGCGACTCTTCGGCTGCCATTTTGATGGTTGCGTTTTTTTGTTATGACTTTTCCGCGGTTGTTCTGAATCGGGGCTGGTGCTTGTGCGTGACTTTTGTTTTTGTCCATTCCTCAAGAATGACAACACACGCCCGGTATTATTCAACATCGGAACAAAGGGAACATCAGCGCTATTCTTCCTCTATAGTATATTTATTAGCTCTATTATATAAACACATATTTTGTTTAGGTAATACGAAAAATAATTTATTTAATAGAATGTCTTTGGGCTTAGTTCAGTTCACCCATAAATAGGTAGTTGATTCACCCATATTTGGGTTTCTCATACAATACCTATAATATGGGTGAATTATATTGATAAAAATCAGTAGATCACTCACACAGTGAGTAAAGTGACTTTACCTAAATATAATTAATTGCACTGTACTCATATTTGGGTGATAAAACACTGTCCAATCCACATCGTTTTCGGCATTGGTTTTGTATTTCTGCTGCTACCGTTCGTATGTTGTTGCTGCTCGAAGGGTTTCTACCAAGCTTGTTAGGTGATTGGCAATCAAAAATCACCACATATAATTAAAATAATAAGTGAGTTTTGAATTACTCAGTAACTTTAATGTAATAAAAATAATAGTGGGTAATTTATGGGTAATTTCAGTAATTCCTATTGCTTGGAAAATTATTTGGTGATTTTAAAGATAATCAAGCAATGGAAATATTAACCTTATTTGACAAAATCCAGGTAATCATGACGTTTGATTATTGAAAACAATTTGAATGAAGAAAAGAGACCTATCCCAACAAACAATTGTCTATTGAAGAAACGACTTCTTGGCCATTTTATTCAACTGCATGCTTAATAGTATTATTATTATAGTATTAATAGTACTATTTTTAATAATAACTTCTGTTCAGGCTTTGTTCACACAAATCTGGAGAATTTATTCAATCAAAATATAGAACTACTTGGTTTTGTATAAGGTATCCCGCATAAATCACAACCATACGATTACCACATTAAAAATGGTTTATCTTCCTCTGAAAACCATAATGAGAAAGGTTCAGTCAACTTTAATCAAACCATACCTAGATAAAGTTTTGACCATATTGATTAAGGTTTTCGAAGACCCAACCATATGAACAATGGGTGGTTAAGAACGTTCACCATACGGAATCTCGCTTTTTCCCATACATTTTTAGCAAAACAACTATAGCCTTACCACATCAGAAAAGGTTCGAGTTGGATATGTGAAACTATTTCAATTAACTTTCGAATAAGGTAGTACGGTTTAGAACCAACCATTGTTGTTAACTTCATGATATACTATGAAATGGTATAAATTACCATACTTATTAACGTTATAATAAATACTGTCGTAGCTTATCCGGAATACAGCCGTCATGGGTTGTTCTTTAATTTTAATGTGATTTACAAGATTTCTTTTTGTGGACACCTCCCTTGCTCTTGGTAACATGTTTATTGATCTGACGCTGTTAGCCCTGAATATTTGTGTAGAAAATGCATGCGCTTTTAAGAAATATTTTATACTTTAAACTTTAAACCGAGGGTTTTAAAAATAAAATAACGAACAAAACAACACAATGTACTCACGAGCACCGTTTCAATCAAAAGCGTTTTCTTCTGTTTGTACCAATTGTAAAAACATAAAGCAACCATAATCGAAACACGAAAGCGTTGTACAAGTTGTTTACAACTTTTATTCGTAATGTTTTGTAACAGTTCAGTATAGTTGATCAACCGTAACAAAATTTAACTGAAACATACCAGAAACTGTAACAGTTGAAAGTAGTGTTTCTTTAATGTTTATTACATTCCATAAACCATAACAAAACTATTTTGTGAAAAGTTAACATAGCTAGTAAGGTGTCAGTGAAGTTTGAACTGTTCTAGAAATTGTATTTTTCTATGCGGGATGTTGAGAAGCTTTTATTCGACTTATATGAGTTGTAACAGAGTTTATACGTTTTTTTAATTATTCAGCGTTTATTAGACATCACTGCTTCCTTAAAACAGTGATGCTTTACATACGCTTGATTCTCATGTGAAGTAACGTTTAATTAGACATTATTATACATTTATTAAACGATTATTCAACTGTGGGAAAGTTAACCCGAAAATAAGAGGGATGGGGACAGGGAGAAGGGTGTGTTTCTTAATTGATTGTTTTCTTTATTTCTGACGTGGCTCGCACCACACATATATTAGAAAATGCATTAAATACTTATACATGTCGTTGCATGGGATTCGAATCATGTACCTTCCGATCACCAGCCGCTTGCCTTGTCATCTGAGCTATCCTAGAATTCATCATATGGGCAACTCAATAATCAATAAACGCTTGCTTGAAAGTAAATACCTATCAGCACTCCCAATCGCAGCTCTAGCTCCTTCAAGGCCCTGTGTATAAGCGAAGACAACAAATCAAGAAGACTGGCAACTTTGCCAGAATCCAAGCGACAGATAGAATAGCGCTGCACTTGAGTGAAGGTGGAAGCAACGCATAGAAAAATGAGCAAATACACAAGCCCTTCTTCTGAGGATGTAATCTTTGCTATCAAATTCGTTCGAAGCATTTACCTTCGAGAGGCAGATGACGCGATTGTATCTGTCTCATAGCGTTCGTATGAGAAAATGGAAGAGTTGCCAGTCTTCTTGATTTGTTGTCTTCGGTATAAGTCAACTAATAAGTAGACGCCTTGCAAAAAGTTAATGAAGATCATGTGTCAAATGAAATGTAAAAGCGGTCACACATACCTTTTATGCATTCTTATATGACCTATTTGGTTTGTCTTATGGAATGTCAGCACTTTCATTATCACGACGTTCTTATGCATAATCTAGTGTGACGAAACGTTGGATCATGCGTAAGAACACCGTGAGAACGAAAGTGTCGACTACATTCCTTCTGCCGCACCTATAGTAACACACACGGTTCCCGCGCTACTGTTCCTTACTTTCTCACTCTAATCAAAATTTCCTTGGATGAGTGAGAAAACAGCTCCCCGTCAACGCGAGCGAGAACGCGAGTTGCCAGATCATTGCACACAAAACCAACTTGAATTAATGCAAAACAAAAATACTAACGAACCTGGCGGTGAGGGGCGGAAGGTGGACTAAAATTCTATTACTGAGAACCACATTATTTTAATTATTTTCTTCGGAGAAAGTCGTCTGTCACTTCGTTTGTGGTGTAAGCATAGAGGTAACTCTAAGACCACTGGGTCCCGAAGAAAATCATTATTATTTTTGGCTCACTCAGTACCAGAACAACGGTCCCAAGCAGTCCCAAGCTATTTCACTC